GTTTACCATTATTGTTAAGTTTGGGCTTACAGTTACTGTTTATGCATCTCTACATGATTGTTATAACTATTATTATTGGGAATAATTTACAGTTATGGTTGGGTTTAAGGGGTCGGGATTACATTTTCGAACAAAAACGATTTTCCAGGTTCAACACAGATGTTAATCCAGGATCGCATCGTGCTTGGCAAAATCATGTTATATAGTCGTAAAAAGCTTAGTATGCTGTTGGATAATTTTTTTCTATTTCTGGTTGTTGTTTTAACATAGTAACTGTAGGATTACCACAGCAGATTAATTTAAGTACTGTGCTATTGTATAGTTCAAAAACACTGCAGTATGTACAATAAAAAATATGGTAACACTTTAGGATTTAGCTCTCACTAATAACCAGTGGTTCATTATCTGCCTATTTTTAAGACATTGGGTGTTCATTTGTTCTAATAAAATACATACACTGCACATATTCTTGACAAATATTAAACACTGAATCTGTGCATTAATTCACTTTTAAAGTGAATCAGATTTTTGTATTATGTTTAAGAATTTATTTATTTCCCTTATTATCTTTATGTTATTAATAATAATTTTATTTGGTCCCACTTTATATTAAGTGTCCCTAACTACTATGTACTTACATCAAAAAAATAATAAATACATAAAATGTACTTACTGTGTTTATAAGGTATTTGAGAACACTTGTGGTGGATTTGAGTTGGGATAGAGGTTGAGTTATGGACAGGTTTGGTGGCATGGGTAGGTTTAAGGGTAGGTTAAGGTATAAGGGATGGTCAACAGTGTATTTACAAATGTAATTACAAAAGTTAATTACAGATGTAATTACATACATGTATTTAATCAAACATAAGTACACAATAAATACATGTATTTACACAATAAGTACATTGTAACAAACTATTAAATCCTGTGTAAGTACGTATTAGTTAAGGCCACTTAATATGAAGTGGTACCTTTTATTTTATCTCAGGCCTTACACAAAACAGACACTGTACTTGTAATCCTACGGTACTCTGCTGAATGTTACATAAGGATGTGGGAGGAGCTCAAAGAGACATTTTTAGGTGGAGGCATCTGCACCTGCCCAAATTCTCGGTAATCACAGAAATAGCAACATAGACTTATTCAGAAAGACATAAAAAAAGAACATGTGCAAGAGAATGATGAAAATTACTGATAAAATGAGGGTTGGGGGGAGCGCAGGGGGGAAGAGAGAAAGCTAATTTTTCGTTTTTGTATAATGTTTTAGCACCGTGGGGACAGGGGGCCACGGTGATACATTCCCATAGAGCCGCCGTACAAAAACCTCTCTCCGATTACTGCCAATTAGATTCCGACAAACAATGCAAAGATATCTCTCGGATTTTAACAATATCGATATTTAGGACATACAGAGCAATAATATTTGAATGATTTACACATTTTTTTATTAATTTTATTGAAAGTGAATACAAGTTTGTCTACTCAAATTTGAACTTGATTGGATAATTTTACCATTTTCTTGCAGCAAATCAATGTATATTGGATTTGCATGCTTTTACGTTACACTTCTGCGTGGATGACAACTGCTGGATTTATGCACTTTTGTTTGATAAAGGATAAATAGGAATTCCAATGCAAATTTCGGAGCAGTCATTAACATTGTGCCTCTGGCTTACAAGCTTACTTCGGGAATGGAACAAAACTGACAGTTTTAGGTAAGTTGACCTTGATTTTATTATTTTAATGATCAGTGTTCAACTGACTAATACTGTAGTCTAAACAGCTAAACTAGCATAACTCGTGCCTTAAATTAGTGAATATCACTCACTGTGTGGCAATGCTGATCGAGCATACTTTGGAGCTGGAACAAAGTTAACAGTTATAGGTAAGCAACAACTTTATCTAAATTAATGTACAATAGCCAAAAATAATTGCAAATTAAGATCGCCAAATATGATTAGACTCTGTTGAAAATGCATAGAAAATACAGAGCAAACCGAACAATCAATTTGAGTCACAGTCATATGCTGTGCCAATTATCAAGCCTACTTTGGTGCCGGGACCAAGCTAACAGTTCTGGGTAAGTAATACTTATTAAAAATTCTGGGCTGTTTTAACCTCATTTAGGGGTAAATATTGAAAACCCAACTACTGGGTTGAATTTTTAAACTACATTTTAACCTACCTGTAACCCAGCAGTTGGTTCTGTCTATAATTTGTCCAAATTTAAGTTGAAACAACTCACTTTTATTAGACTGCTTCAGCTTGACTTTGAGCTAATATACTGCATAAAGGTGTAATGAGTTCATAATTCAAAGCCACCTGATTACAAATAATGAGTATGCAGTTTATATATGCAGACTATATGAATATAAGATATTGAAGCAATGAAAAGCAAAAGTTCATGTTATTATAATAATTGTAGGAGTTATGTACACCGATTCTGGGTTGTCATTACCCAACGTTAGCTTAAATATACACTTAAAAATGATGTTCGCTGTTTGTTCAAAGGACAACTTAATTGTTTTATGTTCAAGCCACCTAAATATGAAAAAAAAAAAAAAAAAAACTACAACAACAACTAATAAGTTATCTTAATTTCTTTGATTGTTTGGAACCAAAATGCCAAACTGGGTTATTGTAATATATATATATATATATATATATATATATATATATATATATATATATATATATATATATATATATATATATATATACATAAATAAAAAAATTAAAAAATTATAATATAAAATTATAATTATAATATAAAATATGGCTTCACCATATTTTATCCAACATTGGGTTTCAAGAAGCCCTCATTTGCTAGAGTGTAGTAGTCAGAGTAATTTTAGCAGAGATCTCCACGCTGTGCTTTGGAAGCAGCCAGGCTTTCTTTGGGGATGGAACAAGACTGACTGTCCTTGGTAAGAACTTTTGTATAAATGTTAAAATACAATGCCTTATAAAATTACCGGTGAGAATAGCATGAGTTAGCTGTGTACGTTACAAGATACAAGTTAGCGATACTGTCTTGAAACTCTGTGCTCAAACACGCAAGCATACTTCGGCAGCGGCACCAAACTGACTGTTTTAGGTAAGAAAAATAATGATTTTATTCAGAATTATTGTATAAATTATTTACCTAAAAGCATTAAAATATCAAATAGCTGCTAAAGTAATATATTTATTGTGTCTAAGGACTGCGATTTGGCTCGGGTTTTGTAGAGTTTTGGGTTCTACAACAGGTCTACCACATCCAATAGGTAGCCAGTGTGTTTGTAACTTGAATACAGTAGAAAGTCTTTAGTGGAGTTTTGTACAGTCAATTGGCATCAGTGTAATCAGTTCAGTTCTGCATACTTTGGCAATGGGACTAAACTTACGGTGACAGGTGAGACTTTTTTAAAACACATTTGTTGGATGAATATTTTTAAATACTAAAGTATGCTAATAATTCATTTAGATGAGTCTATAAGCAGCCATCGATCGATGCCATACACCTGGCACATATCGTAGACATTTTATTAGTGCATATGTATGCTGTGTCAACTACTTCTCCAGCTTATTTTGGTCAAGGAACAAAGTTAACCGTACTTGGTAAGGAACACAGTTATTTTATGTATTTGACAATGCTTTCTCATAAACAGTATGTGGAGTTGTTTTTTATTTATATATTTTTTAATGAAGACATTGGTTAAATTGACCACACCTAACAAACCTAATGCGTTCTGAGGTTTGTTCTTTGGGACTATTTATGCTTTGCAATGATAAAAGTGTTTAATTATTGTGGATTTAGTGATGAGATCTGCAGTAGATGAGGTTTTATCTATGGCATAGAATCAGTGTGAACAACTACGATCCAGCATACTTTGGTAGTGGCACCAAACTCACAGTCCTAGGTAAGAAAAATTTTGACTTTACATTAGAAAGTATCCTGTACAAATGCACGAAAGTCAAGAACAAAGTGTTTCATTCATTGAAATGATCAACACTAAGCTTAAAGAAGCAATGTGCTTACATTTGTAAATAATTAAACAGTAAGAAGTTAAATTAATCTTCAGAGAAGTGGATAAAAGTGGCATTTCAGATGGCTCAAAAATCAGACAAACCATAGTCCACGAAGAAGTGGGAGTAATTTTATTAGTGCACATGAATGCTGTGACTCTGGTGCCGGTGCTCAGGCTTTCTTCGGCAATGGAACAAAGTTAACAGTACTTGGTAAGCCATGCATTTGTATTTATATTTCTACTAAGTCTCTCATTGGTGATAGACAGTTTAAGAATTGAATTGAAAAGTCTATTGTTATATATTTTGTGAAAATATCCAGAATTGTTAGCGTTCTATAGTTTCTGAAAATATAAACAAATAAAGATCTCAAAGAGGTTTCACCTGTAGCATAGAATCAGTGTGATCAGTACGACCCAGCATACTTTGGCGATGGCACTAAACTAACAGTTCTAGGTGAGTAAACTGAGCATCTTACTTTATAGAATCGCCAATTATATTTCATGCATATGAATATGAGACTTTAGCATTTGGTGTCTTGAGTGAATTTGTAAGTGCACACGTGCACTGTGACACTGGTGCTTCTCAAGCTTTCTTTGGCACTGGAACGAAGTTAACTGTGCTAGGTAAGAAAAGTCTTCTTTTCAAATAATATCAGATAACAGTAAAGTGGCTACATGATCATGCCTATAGTTGAGGTTTTAACTGTAGCCTAGAATCAGTGTGAACACTGGCAGTGTTGCATATTTCGGCAACGGGACTAAACTCACAGTTCTAGGTGAGTAATTTGAGTATTCAAATCAGGATAACACAGAAATATGTTCTAGAATTTGCAGATTATGTGTTATAGTTATAAAGTGAGGACACTAGACATAAGTAAATTAGATAAATATGGTCAATAATGCAATTACTGATCATTTAAGGCAAAAAATGACTAGGATTTGGTGTCATGGGTGAATTTGTAAGTGCACATGTATGCTGTGCTCTGGTAGTTATCCAGCTTACTTCGGCAGTGGAACAAAGCTAACTGTTTTGGGTAAGATTCTTTAAAAATACTCATGCTATTTCTCTTAGGTCTATTCAAGACATCTGAATCTGATCAATTCTAATTGAATTAATTGTAGTATGAAACCACAGAGGTTGTCATTCTTTAAAAATTAAGTTAAACACATCAGCATAAGTGGCATAATTCAAGATTAGGGTATTAACTGTAGCGTATAATCAGTGTGAACATGGGAAGTGAAGCACACTTTGGAGATGGTACAAAACTTACAGTCTTAGGTGAGTAATTTAAATAATGTTTATGAGCTTGCTAACATATTTAGGAACATATCCTGTCTATTTGCTGTTACTTTTTGAAAGCTTCCAGTGTTGATATTGATATAGTAAATTAAGAAATGTACTTTAGTTATTGGCCTATAGTTGATATATATTTTAAAATATTTAAGTGTGACTGAATTTGTTAGCGCACATGTGTGCTGTGCCACTGGCTATGGTCAGGCTTATTTCGGCAAAGGAACAAAGTTAACAGTGCTGGGTAAGAAAATCTTCTGTGCTTCTATTTCATTGACAGGTATTGCTAATGTACAGTATGTACGTCAGACTCGTTTATGTGACTATATTACATTGATTAGGCTCTCTGGCAAATGTAAAGTTGCTATATGTCATTTAAAATGAATGAATTGGTGGAAGTTTTTTAGAATTGAATCTCATCTTTAAAAAATAAGATTGGATCTAGCGAGATAAGTGGCACTATTTCTATGAATCAAACCCCCGCTGAGGTTTTAATTGTAGCATAGAATCAGTGTGACCTCTGGTTATCCTGCATACTTTGGCAGCGGCACTAAACTAACAGTTCTAGGTGAGTAATCTGAGCATTGTGTTTCATTTTTAGAAGACATTTAGGATTGTAGAGTAATCTTGTTTTAAAAGATGTGTTAACATGTAGTCCAGTATAGCTGAGGTTTTAATTGTAGCATGGAATCAGTGTGAACAATGTCAATCCTGCATACTTTGGCAGCGGCACTAAACTAACAGTTCTAGGTGAGTAATCTGAGCCTTGTGTTTCATTTTTAGAAGTCATTTAGGATTGTAGTGTAATCTTGTTTTAATAGATGTGTTAACAGTCATTAAAATGTAGGCCAGTAAAGCTGAGGTTTTAACTGTAGCTCGGAATCATTGTGAACAATTTCAATCCTGCATACTTTGGCAGCGGCACCAGACTAACAGTTCTAGGTGAGTGGCATGATATTTAATATTATTATTTAAAAATATATCTACAACTTAGATTCTACACATCAAAACGACTTAAATAAGTGTAATCCTCAAGCTAGATATCGTGGTAAAACTGTCAGTGTTTACTTTATCTCCAGTATAGCTGAGGTTTTAACTGTAGCTCAGAATCAATGTGAACAATCTCAGTCCTGCACACTTTGGAAATGGCACTAAACTAACAGTTCTAGGTGAGTTATTAAAGTATTTTAATATTTATATATTTCAGATTTTTCTATAGTAGATATCCAAGAAGTGCTGAATTAGAATAACTGGATAAGTTAACTCATGTCTATGAATGACAGTATAGTTCTCGTTTGATCTACAGAACTGTAGCTTAAAATCATTGTGAACACTGGCAACCCAGCATTCTTTGGCAATGGTACTAAACTAACAGTTCTAGGTAAGTAATCTGAGATTTCTAGACGTTTGGCAAATTAAATAGGAATGAATGGAGGTGTAAAGTTAAAGTTAGACAGCATTCAATGTTTAAAGCGATCTTCAATATTGTTGAGGTTTTAACTGTAGCTCAGAATCAATGTGACACAAACTCAACCTGCATACTTTGGCAGTGGCACTAAACTGACAGTTCTGGGTGAGTAGTTTCAGTTTTATGTGTGGTGTTTATAAGCTAATAGTTAAGTTATCTAGAATTTTGGTCTTATGAATTAGAACAACTGTAATCGTTTTGATATTTAAGTGATATATAGTGGGATAAATATCAATGGTATCTCCAGTATAGTTGAGGTTTTAACTGTAGCTCAGAATCAATGTGACACAATCTCAACCTGCATACTTTGGCAGTGGCACTAAACTGACAGTTCTGGGTGAGTAGATTCAGTTTTATGCTTGGTTTCTATAGCCTAATATTTTGCTAAGATATCTAAAAATTTTGGTCTTATGAATTACATATTATTATACTGTATATAGTGGGATAAATGTCAATGGTATCTCCAGTATAGTTGAGGTTTTATATGTAGCACAGAATCAATGTGAATAATCGCAACCCTGCATACTTTGGAAATGGCACCAAACTAACAGTTCTGGGTGAGTGAATTAGCTATTTTGATATTTATTTAAAAAGTTTTTTCTATTAGGGATTAAAAATAATGGTAAGTTTGAATAAGTGGACTCAATACAGCTGAATGACAATATAGTTTAGATATACTGTATAAAAGTATCTGAGGGTTTTAACTGTAGCTTAAAATCAGTGTGAACACTGCCAGTCCAGCAGTCTTTGGCAATGGCACTAAACTTACAGTTTTAGGTGAGTAAACAAAGCATTCGCATCTGTAAGAACTTGATTTTATTATTTCTTTAAAATGATGTTAATTTAAGTGGTAACTTGTCTTTAATAATATATGTAGATGTAGTAAAATAAGTGGGAAAATTCCCATGATTGGACAGTTGAGGTTTTAACTGTAGCTTACAATCAATGTGAATAATCGTGACCCTGCATACTTTGGAAATGGCACCAAACTAACAGTTCTGGGTGAGTAGATTACCTATTCTGATATTTATTTTAAAAGTTTTTTTTTCTATTAGTTATCAAAAATAATGGTAAGTTTGAATAAGTGGACTCAATACAGCTGAATGACAATATAGTTGAGATATACTGTATAAAAGTATCTGAGGGTTTTAACTGTAGCTTAAAATCAGTGTGAACAGTGCCAGTCCAGCAATCTTTGGCAATGGCACTAAACTTACAGTTTTAGGTGAGTAAATAAAGCATTCCCATCTGTAAGAACTTGATTTTATTATTTTTTTAAAATGATGTTAATTTAAGTGGTTAACTTGTCTTTAATAATATATGTAGATGTAGTAAAATAAGTGGGAAAATTCCCATGATTGGACAGTTGAGGTTTTAACTGTAGCTTACAATCAATGTGAATAATCGTGACGCTGCATACTTTGGAAATGGCACCAAACTAACAGTTCTGGGTGAGTAGATTAGCTATGCTGATATTTGTTTTATTGTTTTTTTTTCTATTAGCGATCAAAAATAATGGTGAGTTTGAATAAGTGGACTCAATATAGCTGAATGACAATATAGTTGAGATATACTGTATAAAAGTCGCTGAGGGTTTTAACTGTTGCTTAAAATCAGTGTGAACAATGCCAATCCAGCAATCTTTGGCAATGGCACTAAACTTACAGTTTTAGGTGAGTAAAATAGGCATTCTCATTTGTAAAAACCTAATTTTATTATTTGTTTTAAAAACTGTTAATTTGAGTGGTTAACTTGTCTTTAATAATATATGTAGATGTAGTAAAATAAGTGGGAAAATTCCCATGATCTGATAGTTGAGGTTTTAACTGTAGCTTACAATCAATGTGAACTATGGCAATCCTGCATACTTTGGCAGTGGTACCAAACTTACAGTTTTAGGTAAGAATACTTGTTTTGTTTGCTTGTGTCTTGGTATTAGCTTTAATTAATTTGTGAAAGAAATGTGCTAAGTAGCAAATTAAACTAAATCCAAACTATATAAGGTGTGTTTAGGTGAATTATGCAGAAATACTGAAATTAATGTAGACTATTGCTATCTAAAATTGTTCATAATACTTATGAGAGTGTTTTGGAAGCTTGATATTTTATTTGAGAAAGGTGTTGATAAGTCTGTACATGTGCTGAAACTGAAATGGTCTATTCTAAGTGTCAAAATCATACTGTAATCAGATTAAAGTAAGAGAAATGGTTTTACTGTAACTGTTCAACAATGTGAACAACAGACCTGCATACTTTGGTGACGGGACCAAACTTACTGTTCTGGGTAAGAAAGTAAAGGTTTTTTTTTTTTGTAATAGTTGTTTTTGAGTTGATTTGTGTTAATTAAAGATAATTAGTGTTAGTTTTCAGTGTTTAGTCAGCGTTAATGACTGAAAATACTAAGTACTGTATGAAGTTAAACACTAGCTTACAGTCCATCTAAACTGGCAACTCAATGTTGTTATGCAAGATTTATAAATCGTTGACTTTGTTGCATGCATTATTGATTTACTGCTTGCATTAAATGTGATATTTTGTATTTTGTTCTGTAAGGTAAGATTACCACGAGGTGCAAATAACTGCAAACTGGCACATACAGATAAATTAGTTTCTTGCGAGGTTGTCTGTGGTTTTCCTGTTGTAGAAGCAAATAAACTGTAGAAATTCGACCTTATCATTACCAGATTCCATCTGTGCAGTAAGCTGACTATATACAGTTGATGTCAGAATTATTACCCCCACTGTGAATTGTTTTTCTTTTGTAAATATTTCACAAATGATGTTTAACAGAGCAGGGAAATTTTCACAGTATGTCTGATAATATTTTTTCTTCTGGAGAAAGTCTTATTTGTTTTATTTTGGCTAGAATAAAAGCAGTTTTAAATTTTTTAAAACCAATTTTAAGGTCAAAATCAATAGCCCCTAATTTTACATAGTCTACAGAACAAACCATTGTTATACAATAGCTTGCCTAATTACACTAACATGCCTAGTCAACCTAATTAACCTAGCTAAGCCTTTACATGTCACTATAAGCTGTATAGATGTTTCTTTAAAAATATCTAATTAAATATTATTTACTGTCATAATGGCAAAGATAAAATAAATCAGTTATTAGAAATGAGTTATTAAAACTATTATGTTTAGGAATGTGTTGAAAAAATCTGCTCTCCGTTAAACAGAAATTGGGGAAAAAATAAACAGGGGGAATAATATTTCTGACGTCAACTATATATGTCAAAATCTTTCACCCTTCTTTGAAATGATTATTATTTTGTGTCTTTTCCATGATGACAGTACATCATACAGTGCTCAGTATAAATGAGTATTTCCCCTACAAATCTTTAAAATTCAAATGTTCTATATGATGCTTTGCAATTATAGATTTGTCAAAATTCAATTTCTGAAAGTCACCAAACTCTTATTTTGATGGATATTAACTGTTTAATGTTTTGCTTAAATGCATCAAAATATATTGGCTATTTTCACTGATAAACAAATTAAAATTTTCAAAAGGGGTGTACTCATTTATGTTTTTGTATGTTTATTGTTTTCACAAGAGCTTAAAGTGTAATTTAAAGACTTGAAATGGATTTGGTTGACTAGGAAAGGGAGTAAGTTTAAATAGGCAATGTTTTTTGGACAATAGTGCAATATTAGCAGGGCTAAAACATTGACCTTAAAATTAATTAAAAAAAAAAATCAAACTGCTTTTAATTCAGGCAAAGTAAGACTTAAAAGGAGTAAGACTTTCTCCAATGGATATAAAAAACTGAAATACTGAATTCCTGAAATACAATTCTTACTTTCCTTACTTTCTTTTTTTTCTCTAAAATTAAAGTAGTGTGTATATATATATATATATATATATATATATATATATATATATATAAAAATATATAAATGTATGTATATATACATACAGTTGAGGTCAGAATTAACTGTTTATTATCCTGTTCATTTTTTTTTCCAATTTCTGTTTAACAGAGAGCAGATTTTTTCAGCACATTTCTAAACATAATAGTTTTAATAACTCATTTAATATAACTGATTTATTTTATCTTTGCCATGATGAAGGTAAATAATATTTGACTAGATATTTTTCAAGACACTTCTAAACAGCGTAAAGTGACATTTAAAGGCTAAACTAGGTTAATTAGGAATTAAATCTTAAAATAACTAGAAATTAAATCTTAAAAAAAGTATTTAAGTGGAATTGTTTGATATTTTTAAGAAAAAATCAAAGTAATAAACCCAACTTTCTCATACTAATACATTTTATAACTTTTTAAAGATTTAAGTACACTGTTTCATCACTGTTTTTGTTGTTAGGTGACGTAACTTGCTGCTTAAAAGACGTGGAGTCATTTTTTTCTTTACCTAAATTGACACGTTCAAATGGAACATTGTGTTTTGTGTTTAAGATTATTACTGATTATTACTGTGATTATTACTAGATTACAACTGTGTTGTTCATATAATTTGCAACAGGAAATCAAGCAGTGTTGTTTACTGTTTTTTAATAAACAAAAATAAATAATAAAATAGCCTAAGTGAATAATGGACTTGAGTATAGAGTAAACTTGACCACAAAATGACTGAATAGAACAACAGACAATGTTACATTTATATAATTAATAAGTACATTTGATTATCTTCATTCTTGACTTAAAAACCTGCTTGCAAAAACTTATAAAAGTCAAACACAGTTGTATTTTTTACAATTTAAAAATAAATGTAAATAAAAAAAATTCATAATGTTTTTATTTTTATTTTGGAGTAACTGAATTTTGTATTGTGACTCTGACGTTTGCCTCATTGTTTTACAGATCCTTTAATTCCCAAGAGTGAACCATCCGTAAAGATTCTAAATGCACCTCAAAAGGAGTCCTGCAAGAAAAAAGTCACACTTGTGTGTTGGGCTGAAGATTTCTACCCAGACCATGTGAAAGTAGCATGGTTTGTTGGACAGCAAGAAATAACTGAAGATGTAGCGACAGACCCACATGCCACCTTTGTCGAGGGAAAAAAGTACACCATATCCAGCAGACTAAAAGTCTCTCAGAAGATGTGGAAAAAATCAACAAACAAATTCACCTGTATAGTGTCCTATTACAATGGATCTGTCACAACTGAACAATCAGCTTCTGTATATGGAGTTGCAGGTAAGAGTTATACAGTGCTGTCTATGTGTTTATTGTTTGTATAAAAGTATACATCAAATGATTTCCAGGTATTAATTAATATTGTAATATTTTTTTTTATTACAGGTGGATATGACCGAGGTAAGGATTTGATAGTATGGATGTTTATAGTATAGCATTTCAGCATGTATTGCTAATGCCGATTTAAGTAAATAATTGCATGTAATGTTTAATCTCCAGACAGCTATGTGAAGTCGTCACAGTGGATGAAGCTGGCATATGGCGTGACCATTGCTAAGAGCGGACTGTATGGCCTTGTCATCTTTGTGTTTGTATGGCGAAAGGTAAAGAACTTTACAGAATAAAACTAATGTTGACATTTTACTAAAACCTACACCATCCAGAGAAACGGAGCATTTCAAAATGATCCCTTAATTTGATCTATATCTATGAATGTTTTAATATGTTGTGTTTGCAGTAGAATTATTAACGGTGGATAGATGGATAGATAGATAGATAGATAGATAGATAGATAGATAGATAGATAGATAGATAGATAGATAGATAGATAGATAGATAGATAGATAGATAGAATGACAGACATATAGACAGACAGATAGACAGACAGACAGACAGACAGACAGATAGATAGATAGATAGATAGATAGATAGATAGATAGATAGATAGATAGATAGATAGATAGATAGATAGATAGATAGATAGATAGATAGATAGATAGATAGATAGATAGATAGATAATAGAACAGCAGACAGATAGACGGATAGACGGATAGATAGATAGATAGATAGATAGATAGATAGATAGATAGATAGATAGATAGATAGATAGATAGATAGATAGATAGATAGATAGATAGATAGATAGATAGATAGATAGATAGATAGATAGATAGAACAACAGACAGATAGATAGATAGATAGATAGATAGATAGATAGATAGATAGATAGATAGATAGATAGATAGATAGATAGATAGATAGATAGATAGATAGATAGATAGATAGATAGATAGATAATAGAACAACAGACAGATAGATAGATAGATAGATAGATAGATAGATAGATAGATAGATAGATAGATAGATAGATAGATAGATAGATAGATAGATAGATAGATAGATAATAGAACAACAGACAGATAGATAGATAGATAGATAGATAGATAGATAGATAGATAGATAGATAGATAGATAGATAGATAGATAGATAGATAGATGATAGATAGATAGATAGATAGATAGATAGATAGATAGATAGATAGATAGATAGATAGATAGATAGATAGATAGATAGATAGATGATAGATAGATGATAGATAGATAGATAGATAGATAGATGATAGATAGATAGATAGATAGATAGATAGATAGATAGATAGATAGATAGATAGATAGATAGATAGATAGATAGATAATAGAACAACAGATAGATAGATAGATAGATAGATAGATAGATAGATAGATAGATAGATAGATAGATAGATAGATAGATGATAGATAGATAGATAGATAGATAGATAGATAGATAGATAGATAGATAGATAGATAGATAGATAGATAGATAGATGATAGATAGATAGATAGATAGATAGATAGATAGATAGATAGATAGATAGATAGATAGATACTACTTAAAATAAGTATTTTAGATTGAATGTTTATGTGTCGTGTTTTACAGGGTTCAAATGAAAAGTGATGACTGGATCATCTGACCATGATGACTGATGGATTCTGGACGAAAGAAATAATCAAGAAAACACCAACAGTTTACTCCATCCAGAATAGAAGATGCTGTATATATAACTGAGGGCTTTTTTATTTTATTGGTAACACTTTACAAAAAGGTTTTACAATATTTGGTAATGATATTACATTAAACAGCATAAATTAGTATTAAATTATAGCATTTATTTACCTTTGTTGACGTTGGTACAATTGTTTTTTGCACTGTAAAGCATATCCAGTAATTTGATTTGCTCATCACCCAATGACGGTTGGGGTTAGGGGTGGGGTTAGGTGCAACGCCTCCTTTTAAAATCGTACATTTACATACAAATTCGTATGAATTAGCCACTAAACTGACAAAATGTAAAATACTTACGTTTCCTCGTGAGATCAAGCTGGTAATATAGAGAATTAAGTAGCTGTAAAATAACAGAATAGCGAAAAAATATTACCAGTTTTCATATCGAAATTAACTTCACTATCCCAGGCGGTAAATAACTTCAAACTATGTCAACAACATTTTCAAACTGCTCAACACTAAAAGATTAGAAAAAGGAAAAACCAAGATCCCATATTGCAGTTCAAAAGCATAAATCTAAATCACAAAATACGTAAAACTGTTAACTGACCAATATTTTGTTACAGTTTGCTTGTTCATTGGTTCACTGGGCATTTAATGTTAAGAAATGTAACTCTTGTTGGCTATGTATTACAAATGACTAAGATTAATAAAAGTGTTAGAGAAATTGTTTGCTTTATGTATGCTATGTAGTTAGCGTGTTAACTAATTAAACCTTTTTGTAAAATGTTACCATTTTATTTCAACTCTATTCTTTCCTGAATATCTATCACAATGAAAATATGCTAACAATGCAGATCATATTAATCATAAAATATAGTTTGTTTTATTTTATTTTGCTTGTTTCCTTGCTATTTTCGAATGTTTTGATAGCATAGTACTATACTAGTAAAATAGACTAACTTAGGCAAAGATAGATATAAATATATTGTGACATTTTACACACTGAACGTTACTGTACTTTATTCTTTTAGTTTAACTTGCTTAATATGTAATAAAACTCATAATATATGGAAACCATCCACATGGCAAATTTTCATTTATTTTATAATGCACATGGAGCACTGATACAGGGTTTTTATTACACTGTAAAACCCAACAGTCAAATTTATCAAATAAAATGAGTGTAGTTAACTCAAAAATTGACTGAAAGTTAACTTTACTCATTTGAAAAGAGTTTTGAGCTCAGTGTTGTTTACTGTACTAATATAGATTTTGTATAGAGTTTGTAGCAATCGGTTTCCTTATACAGTTTGAGTTGCCATAACTTATTGGGTTTTACAGTGTATTATTTCAACAACAAAGCTTTGGAAAATCATCCGTTTGCTTCCCAAGGAAAGTCATATGTTTGATTACCAAGGAAGGTGGTAGGTTTGAGTCGCAGAGAACCCAAATACATTTGATTTAAAATATGAAATTATTTGAATTTAAGCATCCTAGTAACAATGATGTAACTTGTTGTTTATATTCTCTAGCTAACCAATGGGGCCTGAGTGGCCACCTAGCGAACATTCTCATTATAAATCCATATATTTGGGTGTGATATTATGAAGATAAAGATGAAATAATGAATTTCTGCACTTTTTTCTATCTTCTAGATAGATAGATAGATAGATAGATAGATAGATAGATAGATAGATAGATAGATAGATAGATAGATAGATAGATAGATAGATAGATAGATAGATAGATAGATAGATAGAACGACAGACAGATAGACAGATAGATAGATAGATAGATAGATAGATAGATAGATAGATAGATAGATAGATAGATAGATAGATAGATAGATAGATAGATAGATAGATAGATAGATAGATAGATAATAGAACGACAGACAGATAGACAGACAGACAGACAGACAGACAGACAGACAGACAGACAGACAGACAGATAGATAGATAGATAGATAGATAGATAGATAATAGAACGACAGACAGACAGACAGACAGACAGACAGACAGATAGATAGATAGATAGATAGATAGATAGATAGATAGATAGATAGATAGATAGATAGATAGATAGATAGATAGATAGATAGATAGATAGATAGATAGATAATAGAACGACAGACAGACAGATAGATAGATAGATAGATAGATAGATAGATAGATAGATAGATAGATAGATAGATAGATAGATAGATAGATAGATAGATAGATAATAGAACGACAGATAGATAGATAGATAGATATATAGATAGATAGATAGATAGATAGATAGATAGATAGATAGATGATAGATAGATAGATAGATAGATAGATAGATAGATAGATAGATAGATAGATAGATAGATAGATAGATAGATAGATAGATAGATAGATAGATAGATAGATAGATAGATACTACTTGAAATAAGTATTTTAGATTGAATGTTTATGTGTCGTGTTTTACAGGGTTCAAATGAAAAGTGATGACTGGATCATCTGACCATGATGACTGATGGATTCTGGACGAAAGAAATAATCAAGAAAACACCAACAGTTTACTCCATCCAGAATAGAAGATGCTGTATATATAACTGAGGGCTTTTTTATTTTATTGGTAACACTTTACAAAAAGGTTTTACAATATTTGGTAATGATATTACATTAAACAGCATAAATTAGTATTAAATTATAGCATTTATTTACCTTTGTTGACGTTGGTACAATTGTTTTTTGCACTGTAAAGCATATCCAGTAATTTGATTTGCTCATCACCCAATGACGGTTGGGGTTAGGGGTGGGGTTAGGTGCAACGCCTCCTTTTAAAATCGTACATTTACATACAAATTCGTATGAATTAGCCACTAAACTGACAAAATGTAAAATACTTACGTTTCCTCGTGAGATCAAGCTGGTAATATAGAGAATTAAGTAGCTGTAAAATAACAGAATAGCGAAAAAATATTACCAGTTTTCATATCGAAATTAACTTCACTATCCCAGGCGGTAAATAACTTCAAACTATGTCAACAACATTTTCAAACTGCTCAACACTAAAAGATTAGAAAAAGGAAAAACCAAGATCCCATATTGCAGTTCAAAAGCATAAATCTAAATCACAAAATACGTAAAACTGTTAACTGACCAATATTTTGTTACAGTTTGCTTGTTCATTGGTTCACTGGGCATTTAATGTTAAGAAATGTAACTCTTGTTGGCTATGTATTACAAATGACTAAGATTAATAAAAGTGTTAGAGAAATTGTTTGCTTTATGTATGCTATGTAGTTAGCGTGTTAACTAATTAAACCTTTTTGTAAAATGTTACCATTTTATTTCAACTCTATTCTTTCCTGAATATCTATCACAATGAAAATATGCTAACAATGCAGATCATATTAATCATAAAATATAGTTTGTTTTATTTTATTTTGCTTGTTTCCTTGCTATTTTCGAATGTTTTGATAGCATAGTACTATACTAGTAAAATAGACTAACTTAGGCAAAGATAGATATAAATATATTGTGACATTTTACACACTGAACGTTACTGTACTTTATTCTTTTAGTTTAACTTGCTTAATATGTAATAAAACTCATAATATATGGAAACCATCCACATGGCAAATTTTCATTTATTTTATAATGCACATGGAGCACTGATACAGGGTTTTTGTTGCACTGTAAAACCCAACAGTCAAATTTATCAAATAAAATGAGTGTAGTTAACTCAAAAATTGACTGAAAGTTAACTTTACTCATTTGAAAAGAGTTTTGAACTCAGTGTAAGTTCACAGTACTAATATAGATTTTGTATAGAGTTTGTAGCAATCGGTTTCCTTAAACAGTTTGAGTTGCCATAACTTATTGAGTTTTACAGTGTATTATTTCAACAACAAAGCTTTGGAAAATCATCCGTTTGCTTCCCAAGGAAAGTCATATGTTTGATTACCAAGGAAGGTGGTAGGTTTGAGTCGCAGAGAACCCAAATACATTTGATTTAAAATATGAAATTATTTGAATTTAAGCATCCTAGTAACAATGATGTAACTTGTTGGTTATATTCTCTAGCTAACCAATGGGGCCTGAGTGGCCACCTAGCGAACATTCTCATTATAAATCCATATATTTGTGTGTGATATTATGAAGATAAAGATGAAATAATGAATTTCTGCACTTTTTTCTATCTTCTTAATAAAACAGAATGCTACAAAAACACATCTGTGCTAAGAATATAGTGAGATTATATCATAATATAATATAATTATTAATATAATTGGGAAAAAGATTGACAGTTTAAGATCAATTTGCTAAATGCTGCCGACCTGAATTTGTCTTTGTTTTCATTTGGACACACTGTGCATCGAAGACATTGCTTTTTGTGTAGTTATTTGATACAATGCACCTTACATTATAGTGCAGGTCTATGTTTTCACATTAATCAGCATTTATTTAATATTCTTCTATTAGAAATGCACATCACTACAATTCTTCTGTTGACCATACATAACTTATTGATTCTATAAAAGTAAGACAAAACAGTGCAAAACTGAAAAAAAGAAAATTAAACTTGCTGTTTGTTCAAACTTCTTATTTAAAATGAACTGAAACAAGACTTAAAACAATTATGTTTTCCCCAAAAAAACTTATGTTAAATCAACCTCAAAACTAATGTTAACTTATTTTCTTCATGTTGTCCCAAGATAAATCGATTGTGCAAAACCATTAATTATTTACAGTGTATAAAGTGAGACAAATAAGATTGTATTTTTAAACTACTGGAATACAATTTAATATAACTCCTTAACTTTTTTTGCTTGCCATGACTTAGGGCCCTATCATACACCCGGCGCAGTGGGGAGCAAGGTGCGGCGCAATAGTCTTTTGGTAGTTTTAGCTTGGCGCAAGAGTCGTTTTGAGGCGTTGTACTACGCTGTTTAAATGACAAATGCATTAGCGCTCATTTGTGCGCCCATAGGCATTCTGGTCTAAAAAGGAAGGCGTTCTGAGGCGGACCGCTGGCGCATTGCTATTTTGAGAATCTATAATACATTTTTCATTAGACCAAAACAAACCCGGTCTAAACTCCGGGGCAGAGTTGCGCCTCGCTTACACACTGCTTAATACGCACAAGAGAGCAATAGGCAAATATCTTTACATATGAAAAAATTTAAATATTAAGGATATATATAGGATATAATAAGAATAGATATAGAATATAAATATAAAGGATAAAATATTACAAAACATATTATTTTCTAGCCTACATAAATATGAAAAACCACTGCTTTTATGTCTTCTTCATCTTGGGAGGCTTTTTCAGTTCATTCATAACAATTGGCTTTTGTATAATGTTATTATTATTAGCAGTATTATTTATTATATCCATATTTATATTTGTTTTATTAAAAACAAGCTTAGATTTGTCCACCTGTCAGGTTTTAGACCATATGGGGCATGGCAGGTGTATTTGGAAATAACTCAGTATTTTGACCACAGCTGGCTCTTAAAGGCAATGGGAGATGAGACTCTAATTGGTTTATTCTCAAAACACACCTATAACTCATTAAGAAAATAAACTCAACCCTTTTAGACCATGCGCCACTGCGCAAAGCGGATTTCCCCGTCCTTAAATTAGCAAAAACGCGTTCTGACACGCCCTGAAAGCGTTTGCGCCCTGCGTTTTTCGCTCTACGCATGGACCGTCAAAATAGAGCGCTTATTGTCAACTTAGGAGACAAATCTCAAATAGCAAATTGACTTATTATCAAAATATTCATTTGATGAATGTGACATATCTAATGGTGTTAAAGAAATCATGAATTTGTAGTCATTACTATAAAATACATTGAATCTATCAATTACTGTATTAAAACAATCACAACAAACAGCGAGTACGCTGTTTCTGAAGGTTCACATTTAAGTTTCTTTTTTTTAAGATTCAGATTTTTAAAAAATCCGATTCACTGACATTTTAGGTATTCCTTTTACAAAACCTATGAAGTTTATGTTCTGTATGGGCCATTTTTTTCTGCAGATGCTAGATGCTAATACAATCTAGCTAATACAAAATAAACAAAACATTTTCAGAA